GGGTGGTGTGGCCATGCTTCTGAGATGAGCCCAGTGAGCTCTTTTTTGGAGGAAACAAGGCTGAAGCAGCACTGTCATGTCAGCCCCAGCCTGTGCCCACCCAGCCCTTCCCACCAGTGTCCTGGGTGAGCCTGTGCAGCCCCAAACACTATCACCTTGGCCTGGCAGTGACAAAGAAACCCTGTGCCCTGCCGTGATCCCAGCAGCCGTGGTTGGCTCTGTGCTCTTGGCTGTTTTTTTTACCCTTGCAGTGCATTGTGGCCCTCGCACAGGCTGTGCACGCTCAGACCAGTGGAAGCTGGGCTTCTGGAAGGAACAACTTGCTGGGTGCTGCTGGCAGGAGCCGCGTGGCAGGGATATGGTGAGGCTGCTGGGTAGCCATGGCTCTGTGAGGGGCCTGAGACTGCTGTTAAAGAGATTGCGTACCTGGCACCAGGCCATCAGCCACCAGGTCCAGGCAGGACTTGAGGGGCCCTAAACCACATTGGAAAAATAGCAGCAGGAAAGGCTGGTTTAGCTGGAGACCCACCAGTGTCCATGGAGGTGGCAGCATCTCAAGACTTTTGTGTCTGGATCCAGGCATAGTCACCCTGCTGTGAGTGGAGCCAGGAGGGAACCAGGCACAGGAATCTCGTTGCCATCCTCAGCCATTTGGCCAGGTCACCTCCTCTGAGTCCCTGGACTCCACACTTCCCTTGGGGGTGGCCACAACTGTGGCGGGGCCCAAGTGCTGGAAGTTCAGGCTGAGGGCAAATGGGAGCTCTCAAGGGGCTTCAATTCTTTTGCCAAAGCCTTGGGAGTTGGGAGGGACCAAAAGGACCAATCACATCCTGGGCTGCATCAAAAGCTACATTGCCAGCAGGTCCAGAGAGGTGATTCTTCTGCTTTACTCTGCTCTGGCGAGACCTCACCTGGAGTATTGTGTGCAGGTCTGGAGCCCCCAATATAGGAAAGATATGGACCTGATGGAGTGGGTCCAGAGGAGGGCCACTAAAATGATCAGGGGGTTGGAGCACCTCTGCTACGAGGACAGGCTGAGGGAGCTGGGGTTGTTCAGCCTGGAGAAGAGGAGGCTCTGGGGAGACCTAATAGCAGCCTTCCAGTACCTGAAGGGGGCTACAGGAAGGCCGGGGAGAACCTGTTTGCAAAGGGCTGCAGTGACAGGACGAGGGGAAATGGCTTCAAGCTGGAGGGGAGCAGATTTAGATTGGAGATTAGGAGAAAGTTCTTCACTGTGAGGGCTGTGGAGCACTGGAACAGGTTGCCCAGGGAGGTGGTTGAGGCCCCTTCCCTGGAGATATTCAAGGTGAGGCTCGATGAAGCCCTGGGCAACCTGGTCTAGTTGGGGGTGTCCCTGCTGACTGTGGGGGGGTCGGACTAGATGACCTTTGGAGGTCCCTTCCAGCCTGGGCAATTCTATGATTCTATGATGATATCCACATAGGGGTGCTGCAACATCAGAGGGTAACGAGACAACTGAGTTGCCTCCTGTCTCCCTTTCCCTCCCAGGGCAGAACTGGCTGGCCAGATCCTCCTTCAGCTCTTGGCAAAAGGGGAAACTGATGCATGGGCCAGTGGGTGCAGAGCTCTGGCCTCTGCTCTGTGGCCTTGCCAAGCTGCACCCCAGCAAAGCTCTGCCATGATCTCTGGCAAGCAACGAGCCCTGGGGTGACTGTTCTGCCCTGTGGCACACAGCTCTGGCCATGCTGCATCACTCATACTTGGTTGCCTGAGGGACTGGCTGGCTTCCCTGCCCCATGGCTGGCCCCAGTCATGCGGGGCACCTTTCAGACTTTGCTGTCTTCCCAGCTTCCCACCATGGGGACTATTTCTCAGCTGCTTGCCAGACCCTGACAGTCCCTTGGGAGCAGGTTCTGTCCCTCACAAGCTGGGGCTCTCAGGCAAGTGTGGCCTTATGTGGGGTGCCCCGTCATTGGGGCTGGCACGGCTACAGCAACTTTTTCAGCCTAGGCATCTCCAGGCAGATCCTGGAGGAGCATCTAGAAGGGCAGAGCCAAGAAATCATCTGTCTCAGAGCTGCGCCTGTCCTCTGTCCTGCTTCTTCTGCCTGACCACATGGGACCCAAGTAGGCTGGGAGGGCCTGGCTTGCTGGGCCTGTTGGGAGTACCTCACCTCCAGGCATGGAGGGCTGAGCAGACATATGTCTTGCACCAAAAACCCCCATGCAGGTTGTCCCAGGACTGCACCCTGCCCCTTTCCCACAGCTCCAGGGGGTCTGGCACGTCCTTTGGGGCTGGAGAAACACTTCTGTGGGGTGCTTGGGTGGAATGTGGGCACGAAGGGCATCAGCAGGCACCGCAGGTGGCTCTCGGCATGAAATTACTGGCTGGAGCAAAGTCAGGGAGGCTTCCCGCACCGTGGGGCCACCAAACGTCAGAGCTCCCCAGGCCTGACCACCTCTTCCTCCACCATCACATCCTGAGTGGTTTCAAAGTGAGGATTCTCATGTGTGACTTCACAATGGGTCCATCAGGCTGGAGGGTGCCCTGGAAGTCCTGCGCATACTCCCTGTCCCCGCAGAGGCCATCGGATTAGCCAGGCCACGCTGGATGGGTTGGACCCAGCGCACACTTACACGGTCATGGCTGAGATTTCTAAAGCCCCTTCCAACACCGCAGGGTGTCCAAGGGCAGACATCATGCCCAAGATTCAGGATAATGCACCTTACTCCAGAGGAAAATGCTTTATATGATATGAATCAAAGCAGATGGAAAAAAACCACCCACATATTCATATATGAGATACACACAACAAAGAAAATGGGAAGTATGTCACAGGACTGTGGTTTGAGTCAGCTGTTCCCAGTAAACATGAGGCACAGGAGGTTTTGGTGGGCAGTTCCTGCAGGAGGTTGGGGGTCGCTGCCACAGTCAGCACTTGCTGCCAGAGGAAGGGGTTTGGGGAAGGGAGGCAGCAGTGAGGGGCTGGGCAGCGCTGCTGCTTCAGAAGCCGTCGCTTCGCAGAGGCTGCGGCAGGTCTGAGCCACTGATCTGGAGGTCGAGCTCTGTTGAGTTGAGGGTTGTGGACGGGTTGTGCGGCTGGTTCTTCTCGTACACCACGTACTCGTGACGCTGCTCCCGCAGGTGCCAGAGGATCTCTCTGGACAAGGAGTGGGTCTCTGCTTCGCCCAACTCTGCAACAGGAGAAAGACAAAACCCCCCTTTGCTGGTCTGGCCTGAGGCAGGGCTCTGGGCAGGGAGCAGAGCAGAGTCTCTGGGAGATGCCCCAGAATATGCAGAACTTCCTGAGAAGTCAAAATACAGTTCTTACTTCCCCCTTCCAGCATGCCAGAAGAAAGAACATATAACACAAAGTGCAGGAAGGAGGGTTAAATACAGGGACTGTGTGGTGGTTTCCCAGCAGTGCTTGTTGTGATGGGAACAACCTCGCTGGATAGAAATGCTTCTCCCCATCAGGGAGAGCGCTGCATTTCCTCTGAAAAACAATGAGATTCATTTCAGCAAGAAGCAGCAAGCTGTTTTCAAGCCCTGCTGCTCTGGCAGAGGCGAGGAGAAGGGAAATTAAGAGGAAGAAGAGACAGCCCGGCTCCTGCTCGTCCCCTGTCAGGCAGAATGCCACCAAGGCAGCACACCCCAACAGCTGTCCCAGTGCTGGGGAGGGCTCGACGGCCCCAGACATTTTTCCCAGGAACACCAGCAGGGAAGGAAACTGCTCCTTCGCCTGGAGACTTGCTGGTTGTACTTAATCCTTGAGGGAGCTTTCTTGCTGCCACAGCAGAAGATTTCTTGTCTCAGGTCCTGCACCAGGGAAGGAACAATCCCATACACCAGTACAGATTAGGAGCTGATCTGCTGGAGAGCAGCTCTGTGGAAAAGACTTGGGAGTCCTGGTGGACAACAAGTTGACCAGGAGCAACAATGTGCCCTGGTGGCCAAGAAGGCCAATGGTCTCCTGGGGGACATTCAAAAGAGCATGGCCAGTGGGTGGAGTGAGGTCATCCTGCCCCTTTGCTCTGCCCTAGTGAGGCCACATCTATAGCAATGGGACCAGTTTTGGGCTGCCCAGTTGCAAAAGAGGAACTGCTGGAGAGGGGACAGCAGAGTGCAAAAGAGGGTACAGGAGAGGCTGTGAGGATGATGAGGGAGTGGAGCATCTCTGTGCTGAGGAAAGGCTGAGAGCCCTGGGGCTGTTCAGCTGGAGAAGAGCAGACTGAGGGGCTCTCATCGATGCTGAGCAAGAGCTAAAGGGTAGGGGACAGGAAGATGGGCTCAGACTCTTCTCAGTGGTGCCCGGGGACAGGACAAGGGGCAACGGGCGGAAACTGGGACATGGGAAATTCTGTCTGAACATGCGGAGAAACGTCTTTCCTGTGAGAGTGTCAGAGCCCTGGAAGAGGCTGCCCAGAGAGGGTGTGGGGTTTCCTTCTTTGGAGTCATTCCAAACCCGCCTGGACGCTTCCCTGTCCAACTGCTCTGGGTGACCCTGCGCTGGCAGGGGCTTGGACTAGAGGATCTCTGAAGTTCCCTTCCACCCCCAACCATTCTGTGATTATGTGGTTCTGTGGGTGCCTCTGGGGACTCCAATGGAGTCCAGCTCTGCCAGCATCTTCCCCACTCCTCTGAGACCCACAAGAAGAAGTCCATCTGTGTAGGGAAGCAGCAAGACAGGGACCCCCATGCCCATGTGAGTGGGGATATCAGCCAAGCACTCCATAGATCCTGGCCTCCTTCCCCTTCTTTGCCCCGATCTGAGGTCACTCCAGGGCTGGGGGAGCGGAGCCGCGGTGCTGGGCATCGCTACCCTCTTCCCTTCTTCACTCACCCTGGTAGGCAATGAGCCGGTAGGTACCCGCGCACTCCTTGGAGCCCTTCAGGATCTCCTCCAACGTCCTGTAGAAAAGCTTGGCCTGCTCCAGGCGGTCCTCCCGGCTGAAGGCAGCGCACTCATCCTGGGACATGGCGTAGAGGGACTGCAGCGGGGTGGCGTACTCCACTACACAGGGCCAGAGCTGCAGGGATGGAAGAAAAAGAAGTGGGGGCAGGCAGACCGAGCACCTGGCAAAGGGCTGCTTGGGGGACGCTATTGCTGAGCCCTTAAGACCCCTCTGCGTCGCCGTGGCCTGCCCTGCGCTGGACCCCTGGGACAGGGACACTGCCCTGCATTGAGCGACTCTTCTCTCAGGGAGGTGGGTACGGCCGTGCCCCACGTGTCGGGGGGGCTCAGGAGGCTCCCTCCCACAGGACCCCAGGGTGCAGCCACCAGCTTTGGCAGCACTCCTAAGCCACGGCCTGGGGAACGATATTCCCCGTGAAGTTTGGTCCTTCGTGGAGATGCCCCTTGCCCGTGTCTGACCTCACCTTCCCGGTGACTTTTCTGCTAGAGGAGGGGAGCTCTGAGCATCGTAATGGAGAGTAGGAGAACTGAGGAGGATAAAGGCTGGGAAGGTGAATGCACAGCTAGAAAGAGGCTGAGCAAACAAACGAGAGATTTGTTAAGGCCATAAAAATTCCAGGGAGAAGCAGGGTTACCAGTAAGTCTTATACTGGCCAAACTGGGAAGTTTAATGAAGTGCATTGAAAGGGAGAGGGGTGGGATCCCTGGGTAAAGGCAGTGTAGCAGGAAGAGCTACCAGCCTTCGGATGAAGGTGCCAAGGATGGGAGCTGGCATCGCCACCGTGCAGGGGCTCACCCGCCACCGGGCAGCAAGTGCAGGGACAGATTTTAGTGACAACGCGCAGTGGGTCAGGACAGGTCCAGGCTGCAGAGCTGCTGGAGCTCACTCGGTGCCGAGTGACTCAGCAGGAGACTGGCAGATGAAACACAGCATCGTAGCAGGAAAAACCCGGCGCTGATTGTACTTCCCCAGGAGCAGGGCCAGGAAAGAGGCTCTGGAGTCCCTGCAGAAAGAGCTTTAGAAGCCACAGCTCAGCGCTCAGCCATCATCAAAGGGCAAGTTAGGGAGACCCAGGCGAGGAGCAGCGCTCTTGCCAACACCTCCGTCCGCGGCTGTGTCAGCAGGACCAATGGGTTCCCTCCTCCGAGGGCGCAGGGGCAGAGGCCCATCTGCCTGGAGATGTGGGTGGAGTTGAATGCGATGTGAGATGGAGGGATTTAGGTCTCATCAGCCCAGAGGAGGTGACTGGGGGGAGAGAGTCAAATTTATATAATGAACTCACAGAAAAGTTTTCAAGCACCTCTTCACAACAAAAGGAAATATTCATTCATCCCATGGGAAATGATGTTCTGGACCCCGTATCTGCTTTTTTCTGCTCAGTTTTCTGCTGTTTTCCAGATTTAAATCAACTCCAGGAGGGGTTAAGTGGAGCCCAACATCCCTGCAAGGGCTGGGCCTGGAGGAGGCAGGCAGGAGGAAGGGATGCAGGTGGCCAGCATGGACAGGACCTCTCCATCCTGCAGAAACCTGCTGAAACCTGGGAGTACCTAATAGGAAGGGGGGACACTGTCCTGCCCATGTGGCCACTTCTGGGCTGGGATCTGAGGCCAGGAAGACCTTTGGGCCGATGCATGCTGACTGCTCTCCCCACTTCACCTTTACCTTGTCTTCATCCCTGATCATATAGAGGCTGTGCTTGTAGACCCTTTTTTTAGTGCCAGCTCGAGTCAGGGTGGTTTCGCTGAGGTCTGTCAGGTACTGGATGTTGCTGTCAGCTTTCTCCAGGTCATCATAGATGTCACAGCTCAGAGGGACCAAGATATGGAGCTTCCAAGTCTCCCTGCAGGCCGGCACGTTGGGGTTGGCTCTGCTGAATTCCTCCATCGCCTTTTTCACCCCTGGTGGAAGAGAGCATCGGGCAGAGGTGCCTGGTAGGGGCTTGGACTAGAGGATCTCTGAAGTTCCCTTCCACCCCCAACCATTCTGTGATTATGTGGTTCTGTGGGTGCCTCTGGGGACTCCAATGGAGTCCAGCTCTGCCAGCATCTTCCCCACTCCTCTGAGACCCACAAGAAGAAGTCCATCTGTGTAGGGAAGCAGCAAGACAGGGACCCCCATGCCCATGTGAGTGGGGATATCAGCCAAGCACTCCATAGATCCTGGCCTCCTTCCCCTTCTTTGCCCCGATCTGAGGTCACTCCAGGGCTGGGGGAGCGGAGCCGCGGTGCTGGGCATCGCTACCCTCTTCCCTTCTTCACTCACCCTGGTAGGCAATGAGCCGGTAGGTACCCGCGCACTCCTTGGAGCCCTTCAGGATCTCCTCCAACGTCCTGTAGAAAAGCTTGGCCTGCTCCAGGCGGTCCTCCCGGCTGAAGGCAGCGCACTCATCCTGGGACATGGCGTAGAGGGACTGCAGCGGGGTGGCGTACTCCACTACACAGGGCCAGAGCTGCAGGGATGGAAGAAAAAGAAGTGGGGGCAGGCAGACCGAGCACCTGGCAAAGGGCTGCTCGGGGGACGCTATTGCTGAGCCCTTAAGACCCCTCTGCGTCGCCGTGGCCTGCCCTGCGCTGGACCCCTGGGACAGGGACACTGCCCTGCATTGAGCGACTCTTCTCTCAGGGAGGTGGGTACGGCCGTGCCCCACGTGTCGGGGGGGCTCAGGAGGCTCCCTCCCACAGGACCCCAGGGTGCAGCCACCAGCTTTGGCAGCACTCCTAAGCCACGGCCTGGGGAACGATATTCCCCGTGAAGTTTGGTCCTTCGTGGAGATGCCCCTTGCCCATGTCTGACCTCACCTTCCTGGTGACTTTTCTGCTAGAGGAGGGGAGCTCTGAGCATCGTAATGGAGAGTAGGAGAACTGAGGAGGATAAAGGCTGGGAAGGTGAATGCACAGCTAGAAAGAGGCTGAGCAAACCAACGAGAGATTTGTTAAGGCCATAAAAATTCCAGGGAGAAGCAGGGTTACCAGTAAGTCTTATACTGGCCAAACTGGGAAGTTTAATGAAGTGCATTGAAAGGGAGAGGGGTGGGATCCCTGGGTAAAGGCAGTGTAGCAGGAAGAGCTACCAGCCTTCGGATGAAGGTGCCAAGGATGGGAGCTGGCATCGCCACCGTGCAGGGGCTCACCCGCCACCGGGCAGCAAGTGCAGGGACAGATTTTAGTGACAACGCGCAGTGGGTCAGGACAGGTCCAGGCTGCAGAGCTGCTGGAGCTCACTCGGTGCCGAGTGACTCAGCAGGAGACTGGCAGATGAAACACAGCATCGTAGCAGGAAAAACCCGGCGCTGATTGTACTTCCCCAGGAGCAGGGCCAGGAAAGAGGCTCTGGAGTCCCTGCAGAAAGAGCTTTAGAAGCCACAGCTCAGCGCTCAGCCATCATCAAAGGGCAAGTTAGGGAGACCCAGGCGAGGAGCAGCGCTCTTGCCAACACCTCCGTCCGCGGCTGTGTCAGCAGGACCAATGGGTTCCCTCCTCCGAGGGCGCAGGGGCAGAGGCCCATCTGCCTGGAGATGTGGGTGGAGATGAATGCGATGTGAGATGGAGGGATTTAGGTCTCATCAGCCCAGAGGAGGTGACTGGGGGGAGAGAGTCAAATTTATATAATGAACTCACAGAAAAGTTTTCAAGCACCTCTTCACAACAAAAGGAAATATTCATTCATCCCATGGGAAATGATGTTCTGGACCCCGTATCTGCTTTTTTCTGCTCAGTTTTCTGCTGTTTTCCAGATTTAAATCAACTCCAGGAGGGGTTAAGTGGAGCCCAACATCCCTGCAAGGGCTGGGCCTGGAGGAGGCAGGCAGGAGGAAGGGATGCAGGTGGCCAGCATGGACAGGACCTCTCCATCCTGCAGAAACCTGCTGAAACCTGGGAGTACCTAATAGGAAGGGGGGACACTGTCCTGCCCATGTGGCCACTTCTGGGCTGGGATCTGAGGCCAGGAAGACCTTTGGGCCGATGCATGCTGACTGCTCTCCCCACTTCACCTTTACCTTGTCTTCATCCCTGATCATATAGAGGCTGTGCTTGTAGACCCTTTTTTTAGTGCCAGCTCGAGTCAGGGTGGTTTCGCTGAGGTCTGTCAGGTACTGGATGTTGCTGTCAGCTTTCTCCAGGTCATCATAGATGTCACAGCTCAGAGGGACCAAGATATGGAGCTTCCAAGTCTCCCTGCAGGCCGGCACGTTGGGGTTGGCTCTGCTGAATTCCTCCATCGCCTTTTTCACCCCTGGTGGAAGAGAGCATCGGGCAGAGGTGCCTGGTGTGAGTACAGCTGCCTTCTACTGTGCTCCCTGTTTCTCTGCTAACACTGTAAAAGTGGGAGGATCATTATTAGGAGCTATTTCTATCCGTAGGCAGGATAATGCAGGGAAACAGCTACGTACGTGGCAGGACTATTTTTAGGTACCCAACGTAATAAGACCAGGCAAGCCCATGAGCGACATTCTGCTTGGACCTCTCAGACATCTCAGACATTTCCACCGCTGAGGGCTGCTGTGGAGGGAAGGACAGACAGACGGGCAGTGATGAAAGCACCCACCTGGGCTCTTCTTCAGCTCTTGGTTCTCTACAGGGGCTGGAGACAGCCGCCTTCTCCAAAGAGATCTGGAGAGTGAGCAGCCCTGCTGCCCCCTTCCACCACCGCTTCGGGCCACGGGGCCAAGAGCCCTTGGTAGCCCACACAGCCCCTGCAGATGAGGCTGACGCTGGGGTGAGCCAGGCGTCTTTGGCTGCCCCCTCCATGGGGATTGCGTGTCCCAGTGCTTCCAGCATGTGGGAAGCAACATCCCAGCATCTGATGGTGGGATTTCCAGGGCCACCAGTGGCCCCTGCCAGCTCTGTGTGTTCATTTAGGTGGAAACGGGTGTTGAGTCCCCACAGGCACCTGACAACTGCCCTCCCCAAAGCACCTTTGTGACCCCTCTTCCCTTCCAGCTCTGCTGGGGGACAGCAGAACCCTCCCAGTGCTGCAGAGGTACCTGGAGCTTGGCTAATTAACCCTTTGGAGACCACACAGGCTCGTCTCTCCCCTCAAGCACCAGCTTGACTGAGAGATTTAAAAATACCCTGGAATACCCTGGTTTTTTGTCTGTCAGCGGGGCTGTGGCTGCTGCCAGCGCCCCGGGGCTCTGTGCTCATTAAAAGGCAGCCTGTCCCTCCCGCTGCAGCATGGGGCCGAGGAGATCAGATCAGCTCGTGGCAGCATGGGGCCGAGGAGATGAGCTCCTCTGAGCTGAGCTAACGAGAGCGTTTCTCCCACCGTGGGGCTGTACGTGGCCGGGGGCACGCAGAGCCCACGTGTCCCCACGGCTGCTCACAGCTGAAGTGTTCCCCGCGAAGGTGGCTGGGCTAGAGGTGCTGGTGCCTTACCTGGAGCCCCAGAGCGAGGACGAGGAGCTCACAGAGGCTGGCCAGGCCGAGGTGGAGGCCGAGTGGCTGCTCATCTCCATGGAGAAGAGCCACGTAGGCTGAGCCGCAGACGAGCAGCATGGGCCCGTGCCAGTGCAGGGAGAAGCAGGCGCTCAGCGCCCTCCAGAAGCTGCCGCGGTGCCTGAGTGGGAGAGACAGGGGACAGGCTGGTGGCCACCCACCTGCCATCCCCATCTGCAGCCCGTGGGGCACTGGCCAGGGGGTGCTCCCACATCCCTGCCAGTGCCATTGGCCTCCCCGAGCAGAGCGGAGCTGAGGAGCCCCACGGGACCTGGCCCAGCGCACCCAGGGTGCCCCCAGCCAGGAAAAGCCTTGGCTCTCTTGCTGCACCCATGGGTCTCAGAGGGGAGCAGATGCCATGTCTCCCTGGACAGCAAGGGAGGACCATCTCCAACAGCCTTGTGCCCTCCAGCACCGGGTGGTGGGAGAGGCTGGGGGCTGAGATGTGTTCCCCAGGGAAAGGGAACTCTAGGGAGTGACTACGGACGGGAGAGCATGAGGTCTGTAGATCTGGGCAGGCAGGAGAGGGGGAAAGGAGGAGAGGGAGGAAGAGGATGGAAGAGACAGGAGGGTGATGGAGAGCAGTGGGTGCTGCTGGGGCACAGCAGAGGATTGGCACAGAGTGGGGGTAGAGCCAAGGAGCAGATCCCCCCACAACCCCCGGAGACTGCTTTGCCCTTGTCCCCAGGGTGGTCCCAGGAGCCCGGGAGATGGCTCACCTGGATTGGAGGTGGAAGATCTCCTCAGCCAGGTAGCAGATGCCCTTGAGCAGGGCCCTGATCTCCAGGGCCAGGAAGTGGAAGGTAAGGCTGCGGGCGGCAGGCAGGAGGGGCTCCCCGGCCAGGTACAGCGCCGTGGCACACAGGGCCAGCAGCAGGAAGGTGGCAACCCGCGCTCGCCCTCCCCGTGGCCTGGGGATGAGCAGGGCGGTGGCATGGCCCGGCCGCCACGATTCCTGAGACATCTGCAGCAGAGAGGGGACACCAGCAGCAGTTATTGGCCCCAGCACCCACAGCAGCGCTGCGGGGAGTGGAGGAGGGGGACAATCCTGCACATCCCGCGCTGGCTGAGCACCCCAGAGCGCGCAGCGGAGCCGTCCCTCCCTCTGCCAGCTGCCAGGGTGCAGCCGCTTCTGGGGAGGTTCCCTGGCGTGCTGCCCGGGCCACCTCGGGGCTGCCCCCTATGCCCACATGGGCTAGGCAAGGTGGAGCCCGGCTGGCCACCCTGCTCCCAGATTGGTGCCAGCCCCCCCTGCTCCTCCGTTGTTCCTCTTGCTGCACTCACCGGAGCGGTTACCGGCTGCGAGACTGGCCACCACCTGCCTGTCCCACACGGCTGTTAATGGTCTCCGTGGTCCAGCCACGGCTCTTCTCAGAAGCTGCTGCCGCCGCAGAGACTGGGAGCCCCTGCACCATACGGGCTCCTGTTGCCACGGGTGGAGCCGCACGCTCACCAGCACCGAGAAAAATGAAATCGAAAGCGGGTTTGGCGGCTGCCAGCTGCTGGCAGAAAGCACCAGAGCCCTCCCACGGGGGGACCCTGAGGTCTCCCGGGCAGTGCTGGGCGGATGCGGCAGGTTTCGACATCCCGGAGCTGGCATTTCTGGAAAGCCCCACCGTATCTGTCAGGTCATAGCGGGGCTGAGCTGAGCTGGAACGAGGAAAGAGAGCAGAATTTATTGAGATGATGGAATTAATATTAAGTGCAGTAGTTTTCCAGAGGCAAAACAGAAGCATGTTCTTTCTAAGCAGAGGGTGACTCATCCTGGCTTCCCCCACCCTGTGCAGCTCCGGAAGGTGCTGGCCAGTGAGGGCCTCAAACCTCTCAGGTCCTAGAGACCACAGACACTGAGCAGCTGAGGAATTCAAGGCCGCCTTTGACTCAGTTGTTATTGCTGGGGTTTGCCCTCAAGTCTCCCAGGTCTCTGGTCGGAGCAGCAAAGTCTGCAGCGGTGAGGCATCACCCATCCTAGAGGAACGTCAGCTTGGGGCACACACAGAAGCCAACAGGACCGTGTGAGCAGCACTTGAAGATGCTGAGGGAGCTGGCTGATGCTCGGGCAAGGCTCCTCCCTGACCTCTTCAGAAGCTCATAGCAATCATGAGGTTCCTGATGAGCGGGAGAAGGCAAACATCACACACAACTTTGAGCTGGGCGAGAAAGAGGGCCTGGTGAACTACAGCCTGCCCAAAGTCACCTCTGTCCCAGGGAAGGTGACAGAGCAAATCTTCCGGGCAATCACTGCCGAGCACCTGAAGGATGAGAAGGGAACAGCCAGGGATTTACGGAGGGCACATCACATCAACCCACCCGAGTGCCTTTTGAGGAGAGATAACTGGCCGTGTGGATGAGGGGAGAACCTCCACTTCAGCAAAGCTTGCAACGGGGTCTACCCGTTCCTTTATCACCAGTTCCCACCTCTGTTGTTCATCACGGCAGCTGAAATGCGTGAAATGGCTCCAAACAAGTGCTCCCAGAAAGGCTCCAGGCATGAAACAGCACAGTCTCATCCCCCCGACTAGCTCTGAGCCGTCCTCCCCTTAGCCCCTTGCAGAGTGCCAGGCCAGCATCACTCCTGCTGATGCCCTGGCATCCATCCCCCCACGTGCACGGGGCAGCTCTCAGCATCCTCACGGGGAGGAAGGCTCTGGCTGCAGTTTTTTGTAGCCAGACTGGGCAGACGCAGGCTGGGTAAGGGGGTGCACCACTCTGGGGGAACCCAGGCGCTCCACCACCTCCCTGGGATGCCTGTGCCCCAAGGCACGAAGAGTGGGGAGCAAACGGGAAGAACTGGAGATGTGCATGTGGTCACAGGGCTGGCTGGGAGCTCATGTGGCTGGAATTGATGGCTTTTTAGGAAAGACAGGCCGGAAGGCGAGGTGGTGGAGTTGCTCTTTATGTGAGAGAGCAGCTGGAACCAAGTTCTGCCCCAGGGTTGGATTAAGAATGTGTTGAGAGCTTATGGGTAAGAATAAGCTTATGGGTCTCTCAGCCTGTCTTCATAGGAGAGGTGCTCCATCCCTCTGATGATCTTCATGGCCTTCCTCCACCTCCATACACCTTACGGATGAGGTGGATTACCCCAGGAGCTGTGCGAGGCTGAAGGTGGTTGGGAGCAGGTGACGGATGTGTGTGGCACGTCCCCAGCCAAAAGCCAGGCCAGGAACACGGTGCGTCCCCTGGTATCTGCTGGGTGAAGGACCTCTCCTGGCGAGCGGGGCAGGCTCCAGGCGTAACGAGCCCTGCTGGGCCCTGCAGCAGCGCTCACTCCTTGGGTTTTTTTGCGTCATGTGCTGTTGCCCCGCAAAAGCCGGGGGAGCTGCAGCCAAAGGGCAGGCTGCCCAGTGACAGCTTTACACCGGGACACCCGTGGGGACGGGGCTCGGATGCCAGGCTGGTGTTAGAAGTGGCTTTGGTCCCTTGGCTAAAAAAGTGCAGCAGATGGTGTTTCCAGAGCTGCAAGTGCACCCCCTGTGTCCCCCCCCGAGGTCCTGCACACTGACAGGGCTTGCTTTATTGCCCACCCTGGTGAAAATAGAGGGCTGTGTGATAGGCCCCATGTGGAGCACTGGGACCAGTTCTGGGCTCCCCAGTTCCAGAAGGACAGGGAACTGCTGGAGAGGGGACAGCAGAGGCTACAGAGATGATGAGGGGACTGGAGCATCTCTCTTATGAGGAGAGGCTGAGGGACTTGGGTCTTTTTAGTCTGGAGAAGAGAAGACTGAGGGGGGATCTCATTAACGCCTATAAATACTGAAAGGGAGGGTGTCAAGAGGACAGGGACGGTCTTTTTTTCAGTGGTGCCCAGTGACAGGACAAGGGGAAATGGTCACAAACTTGAATGCAAGAAGTTCCACCTAAACATGAGGAGAAATTTCTTTCCTGTGAGGGTGGCAGAGCCCTGGAAGAGGCTGCCCAGGGAGGTGGTGGAGTCTCCTTCTCTGGAGATGTTCAAACACCCCTGGACACGTTCCTGTGGGACCTGCTCTGGGTGGCCCTGCTCTGGCAGGGGGTTGGACTGGGTGATCTCCAGAGGACCCTTCCAACCCCAACCATTCTGTGATGCTGTGATTCTGTGTTGCATGGGGCTGCATGAACTGGCTCACCCTCTGGTGCTGTGAGGAGCCATCCAAGTGCCAGGTACAACCTTGCAGCAGCAGGCACGCTGCTTCCTCCAGCTCCCGAGCACGCATTGTCTCTCACTCGTTCAGCAAAGCAGTTTTGTTGCAGGACAAAAGAGGTGACAGTCTGGGGAGCCAGGGAGGTGTCCTGGCCAAAGGATTTGGTAATTGCCCCCCTCGTCTTCAGATTGTGCAGGGTCCTGATCTTCCCTCACGAAGTCCACATGGAGATCGGGAGCCTTTCCAGCCCTGTGCCCAGCTTGGGAGAGCCTTTGCCTGGCCCTGACCCTTCAGCAATGATGAGTTTAAAATCCCGACAGCAGCACGGACCGTCCTGGGGCTGCCCTGAGGGCTGCGTGCCTCAACCCATTAGGGCTCTTCCTTCCTCTCTGGTGCCAGAGTTTTTATCCATTTAATAAGCGCTAGTGGGTCAGTCTGTGATGTATGCAGTTTTCTTTTGATCCCCTGTAAACTCTCGGCAACCGTGGCATTCTGTGGCACCACGGCCCCGATTACACCTTGGGTGGAGAAGTCATTTTTGCTTGTTTTGAAGCCATCACAGGCCAGAGCTGTTTGAGGTGCAGCTGCTCTTGTGCTGTGAGAGACACGAACCACCCACCCTTTCCTCCCCCCCAGACCACTGATGGCTTCTGACCTCAACCATCTCTTTCCCAGGCTGGAGCATCCCAGGTACTCAGTTGTTCTTCAAAAAGAAGCTGTTGTCTACTTGATTGTGCTGGTCAAAATGCTTTGAATAGCTCCTCCCTGTCCCCTCCAGGTCTGGCCCTTCCAGGTCTCAGCCCAGATCCCTGGGGGGGGCTCCTGCTGGGCCCCCTCCGCTCACACACATGGATGCTCTTGCTCTCTGTCCTCCAGCAGGCACGTACTCTCCTGCCCTTTGTCACCAGTCCCCCTGGCACTGAGGCTGTGGAAAGGGAAGTGGGTGGCTGTATCTCCTCTGGCCGCCCACCACGTGTGCCCTGGGGACCTGACCGGGCTGAGATAAGAACAAGCGAAACAGGCTGGATGGATGGGTTGAGACCAACGGGATGAGGTTCAACAAGGCCAAGTGCCGGGTCCTGCCCTTGGGTCACACCAACCCCCTGCAGCGCTCCAGGCTGGGGACAGAGGGGCTGGAGCTGCCTGGCAGAAAAGGACCTGTGGGCTGAACAGGAGCCAGCAGTGTGCCCAGGTGGCCAAGAAGGCCACCAGCATCCTGGCCTGTGTCAGGAACAGTGTGGTGAGTAGGACTCCAGAGGTGATTGTCCCCCTGTACTGGACACTGGTGAGGCCCCACCTCAAGGGCTGTGTCCAGTTTTGGGGCCCTTCCCACAAAAAAGACATTAAGGTTCTCAAGCGTGTCCAGAGAAGGGCACTGGAGCTGGTGAGGGGTCTGGAGCACAAGTCTTATGAGGAGAGGCTGAGGGAGCTGGGGGTGTTCAGCCTGGAGAAAAGGAGGCTGAGGGGCGACCTTATTGCTCTCTACCTGAAAGGAGGGTGTAGCCAGGGAGGGTCGGTCTCTTCTCCCAAGGAACAGGCGATGGGACAAGAGGGAACAGCCTCAAGTTGCTCCAGGGGAGGTTCAGATTGGAGATTAGGGAAAATTTTTACACTGCAAGTGTTATTAAGCCTTGGAATGGGCTGCCCAGGGAAGGGGTTGAGGCACCATCCCTGGAGGTGTTCAAAAGACGGGTTGAGATAGGGTGGGGGGACATGGTTTAGTGATGTTTTTTTGTCAGTTAGGTTGATGGTTGGACCCGATGCTCTGAAAGGTCCCTTCCAACCCAGATGATTCTATGATTCTATAACAGAATAAATGGCCGTGTACACGCACACCGTTTGGTCGCTTTGGGGTTATTTTTACAGGTATCTTCCCGCCTGCAGGACATGCAAAGCTGGCTCTGGGGACAGAGCCACCAAAAGCTTGCTGGAAGCCAGTGGCTGGTGGGCACTGCAGTCCCAGGGACTGACTTTCCCTTTTCCCAGGGAAATCTGCTCTTGCCCTGACGCATCGAGTCCCGCTTCGGCAGCAAAGGAGGGGACAGTCTTTGCAGACAGGATCCGGGGAGCCCAGGAGCCAACAGAGCATCTTCTGAACTGGGTGTGAGATCTCCAGCAAAAGAGTGGGTCTCACCCCAACATGCTTTTTGGTGACAGCGTTCCTCCTTCCTCCACAGCAGGCGGCTCGCAGCTCTGCTGGGATTGTCCCACGCAACAGGACAGCACAGAAACCCCAACCCTGGCCAGACCCCAGCGGGGCTGTGCTGGGACGGTGCAGAAGAGCTGGCAGCTGACCCTAGGAGACTACCGTTCATACAGCCATGGAGGATGAACGGGAGACAACACAACCTGGGGATGAAGAGAGGAGGAGGAGGAGGTGAGCGTGTGGGATGGAGGGAGGTTGTCTCTCTGAAAAAAGTCCTTTGGGGAGGTGGGAGCGGCAGGGAGCAGCCTGGGAACTGCGCTTGGAGCTCCCAGAGGCCACGTTGAGGAGATGCTGTCC